GGGGGGGGAGGGAGGATGATTGATACGATAGATCACCCAACCCACATCTTCCGGGGGTGAAAGAGGCCCTTGCCCGAGTCCATCATGGTCTACTTCCCCAGTAACAGCTCTCGTGAGCCCCAGATGGGGATAGATGGAGGGGTGAAACACAGACACAAACATCGTGAGGCCACAGGCCAACGACGACGAAAGCACCAGTAACATCATGGTATCCGCAGTCAGTAACTTCATGAGACGGGACCCGAAAGGCTAGACTGCCCTTTGCCTCCTTCACCGCCAAGTGAGGGAGCATTTCCCCTCTTCCTGTGACGGATGATGGGGAGTTAGCGGCCGAGTACTCAGCAGCAGGAGACAGAGCTCCAGCCAATCCTGCCGGATAGGTAGTAGCACCGATGAGATGCGATGGGGTGTTGATGGATCACCGACCGGGAGGCTGAGAGCGCGCGGCCATTTCTCTCTCTCTCCCCCCCCCCCCCCCCCTTCTCTTTCCCTCTCGTTCACGCTTCACGGTACGCCAGGGCCAGTGGGGTCGTATGCGAGATGCATCTTGGAATGGACGGTTGGTATGTGGTGTACGTATTGTGGTGGTGGTAGTAGTGGTGTCGACGATATGTAGTGGTTGGTGGTAGGGTATGTTATCCAGTCCCAGCTTTATGCACGACAACAACTGTTGTTCATGCCGCTTGTCGGCTATCCCACCCAACCATCACTCAGAGTGCCTTCACACCCACGCACGCCCATGACACTGAATTCGCGGAAGGTGCCGCATCACGATTGGTAAATAGCTCCGAGAGGCACGATGAAGCCAGGTGTAGCTGACTACTTGGTAAAGTACGTAGCACCCAGCAAGAAGTAGAGATCAGAGAACGGCCGGCAACGACGATGATGGCGATGACGCTGAGACAAGGAAGGGTCCGATCCAGATTCCAGCCAGTGCAGTCTCCCTTATTGACTGGACGAGAGGAGCGAAAACAGACGCCGTCTCATCAATCCCTCTGCCACCGGCCCCAGCCCCAAGCCCTTCCCAAGCCCCAAGATAATGCGCTAATGCAAACACTTAAATAGCTTGACCCATGAACGCGCGGAGCTAGGGCAGTTGCTTTCTTACCCCATTCTCCTGATGCGGTCCAAGCTCCAACTGTAAAACTAACCAATGTACGTCGGCCCAGTTTGCTAGGTTTTGTCGTCCGAGGTATCATATTTTCAGGCGCTTTCCCAGCTTTTCTGGTCTTTCGTCTCGTCTAGACCACTGCCGATCAATGATGTTCAGTGGGATGACCCATTGGGACCCATTGGGACCCATTAGGACTCCGAGATCTATGCTATATTAGTAACATGGCGGCAGATGTCGGCGTTTTTTTGTGTGTGTATGTTTGAGAGATGGCGATCCGTTTCGTCCGTTCCCCTTCCGGTGTCTCCATCAAATCATGCCGCTCTGGCATGACTGCACAGAACTGCAGTACTGCGTAGCATGTACGGGAAATGCAGGACAGCGTAGCAATACAGTATGAGACCGGTGATTGTAGAGCGACGCCAGAGCGGGAACAATGCCTTGGAGATTGCCCAAACACCCAAACATCCAGGCCTGGGGCAGGACTTGGTGATAATTCCCGGTCCGGTAGCAGAAGCCGCCGCACGTACGGTCCTTCCGAAATGTCGTGACGGACTTCCGGCCGATCAAGTTACTGACACAGCCGAAAGTTTCGACCCAAGTTGACGTGTATGGCTAAAGAGACAGACATACCTACACTGTGACACTGGGAATGGGAGAGGCGCGGGATGTCCACTTATTTGGGTAACCCATCGGTTGCTGGTGGCTTTGAGGAGTGAGATGTGCGATTTTGCTTGGTAGATTCCAGGTCGAGATGTTTGATACATAATGAGAGCCTGACTTACATATGTAGTATACTGCGTAGTTCTAACTGCTGAAATCAGGTGCTGTTGTTAGCATGAAGCTGGTATCTTCGTATGCACACTAACACAAAGTAAATGTAACTGTTATCGATACTTGTGTAGTGCACACTAGTCTCGATAGACTAAGCCGTGGAGTGTGCTTGTTGCCGATCTCAAGAGCGAAGGTTACACAGCTCCGCAACCGAACACCCGGAAGTCCAAGGAATGCCCGACTGTAGTGCCGGCAAACAGCTACGAGCCTACGACGCCGTCGACACGGCGTGGAACTCGGGTACTGAATCAGCTGAAGACAACTGTCCACTGCGCTGCAAACGACCTGCAATGCTGACTCTTGCGGTGAGTATGGGAGTGAGCTAGTGGAGGAGAATGGACGACGGAACAGCTCATCAGCTGTCTAGAGTGTACTGATCACAAGGATTGAAGGAGTTTCTAGTGAGAGCTCTTTGTTTGAATGGAGACATGGATGCAAAAGACAACACAATGCCTGATTTGGTAATGAGAAAACAAACACGTTGGCAACTAGCAAAGTCGATTGGCCAGAGACAAGAGCCATTTTCTGAAAGGCCTGTGTGAGTGGCTACCGTGAACGCTTCACCGACTTTCTGTGCTGTTGCTGCAACAGCTGCTGGCTTCTGGAGCTTCTTGCTAGCCAGCAGTAGTGCCAGCTGCCAGCCCAAAGTCGATGCAGCAGCAGCTTGTTTGGGCCCAAGCTGGAGGGGTACTGCAGTGATCTCAGTGGATGGCTTTAGTGTAGAAGTTGGGCGTTGGAGAAGGCATCAACAAAACTGGAGCCCCCCCCCCCTCCCCAGAGATTCTCCGTCTCCGTCCCGGAGGAACGAGACAAGTCGGAAACCGTTGATCGATCAGACCAATGACAGGGGCATTCCACTTTGTGAGATAGGAGTGGATTCTCACTAGTGTATTTGGCAGAGTGCCCAGTGGGGTGCTTCTGGAACTCTCTTGCGTTCTTGCTCCTCCATTTCTCGCTCCTCTGTTTTCGGCAACCACCTCCAGCTCCTCCTCGGGCTGCGGCTTTGCCCATGCCATTCATTCCATTCTTCCTTCTTGTTTTGTTGTTTTTCTCTTGGGCGGGAATTGGATCGGGGACCCCTGGCTCTTGTTGATGCCCCTGACCTTGTCGTTGTGACAATCAACAGTCCACGATCCACATTCATCAACCGAGAGGCCCAGCCAGAGGAGCCGACCGGCCGGCGTCGGCAGGATGTCTCTTGTGATTGCTCTTTTTGGGCTATTTTTCGTATCTCATAATGGGCTATGGAAATGGAGAAAGGTGGAAAACATAGAGAATGAACCCCACTGTATCATCGTGTTTTTAATGTAGGCTTGCTCCCCACTGTAAATCCTTCCCGCTTGCCGGCCCACGCCGTCGTGTTCCAGCTCCAGGGCAGAGGTAGGTATCAGAAGCGAGTCTCCACATTTGGGCAACTTTCCGGGCCCCAGACTCGGGAGTCTTTTGTCAAAAGACCGTCCCAGCAATCATCTCCCCCTCGCTTGCGTGCAGTGCCGCCAAGTCAGTGCACACGCATGGCCGCACGTACTGTAGTGTACATAGTGTACTGCGTAGTTGTACGCGGGCACGATCTTGATTTCCCGAACAAGGATATCCACGTCTTGTATCAAGTGTGATGATTTGAATAAAGGACAATATCACAACGTTGGAAATGAATCTGTTGGTTAGAAACACGCAGATTGACTCCCGGGAATGGCATAGTGGTCGGAGCTTAACAGCCATATTCGTCAAAGATTACCGTGTGGTGGTTTGTCTAGCTTGTGAAGTGCTAAGAGTGATTTGATATTGATAATGTTGGAATGAAGGGGCCATGGGGATCTTCCCAACCACCAAGCCCCTTGGGCATATTGCCCGCTGGATGCACTGTGCCGCAGCAATGATGATGATGGATGACGACCGTCGACCGTCATCACCAGCTCCGGAAATTGATTGTTGTTGATCCCGCTGTAATAAAGAAGTCGGATAAAACGATGGATCGCCCTCCATAGAGGGAGGCATGACTTCCCTATTGGGATGGATGGATGGAGGGGCAGATGGGATGCTCGTCGTCGAGGATGTCACCTGCTTCCTTCCATGCCTTGTTGCCTTGGCCCTGTTCTAGCTTGGCTTCTGCTTTTGCCTTGTGTGGGAGTCGGGAAGCCATGATTGTCTGTATAGTAGATAGGTATATCGATCCCTTCTTGCAACGATGATGAGGCCCTCGCTTGTCTCCAGCCTTTCCTCTGATTGGAATCCTTTCCGTCGCCCCTCCCACACTCCCAAATGTCTACTTGGGCCCAAAGAAACTAACCCCCTCCAACCAATCATCGGTCTAAATGCAGACAGTCAGCATGTGAAAGCAAGCCTCACTTTTCCTTCTGATTCGTCCCTCCCATTTCATCTCAATTCTCGATTTTCTCCCAGGCGCAAAGCCAGGGTGAGAAATGCAGGTGCCCGCCCGCAGCAGCAGCAGCAGCAGCACAGACTCGCACCCCCCCACTGCCCACCACACACAACACTTTTTCGTCCCTCTCGTTTTGAGCTCGGGCCCAGGAAACAGAGAACGAAAAAAAAGCAGGGCGAGGTGGCACCAGCACGAATCAACCAATCACCATCCTTCACATCTCTCAAACAGGTCAATGTCTCATCTCTCTTCTGATGCTCAATCGTCGTCCTCGCTTTCTTGCGGCTTGCTTGCTTGCTTGCTTGATACTATTCTTCCCAACCACCAACAAAAAACTACCCGAGACTACCGACAGTGAGAGGAGAGACAGAGGGGTCCTTCCTCCTTCCTTCGATCAGACCCTTCAGTTTCTGGTTATGGCGACTGGTAGCCGTTTCATTCCATGTATTGCTTCAGTTTAAGTCCCCTCTTTTTTTTTTCTTTCTCTGTTTTCGATATCGTGCATGATCCAAGGTTGAGACAACACTCGCTCACTCACACACTTGGGAGTTCGTTCTACACCTGTTTTGGCTATATCCTGCAACGCTACTGCATAATGCCTACAGGAATGTGGCATCGTTCTTGCTTGATCTTGGTATCCTTCTCGCACGAGAGTGAGAGTGTGTGAACATATCATGATGCAGCAAGGCAGATAGACAAAACTGGCAGGCGCCCGCTCGATTGCCATCGGGCGGTACGCATAGGTTCTACCGAGCGGTAACAGGCAGGGAGTGTGGTAGCCGCATAGGAACTGACTGGTAGGGTCATGTTAACTCCACATTTGAAGGGCGCAGGGGCAATATAACAAGCGGTTACATGGAATGATTGATGTGTTGAGACATCTACCATAGTGTCGGACTCTCCGAGCCATCCGTCTCGACGTCCATCTGTTTGTTGTCGCTTGCAACGATCTCTCTAGATTAGGTAGCTAGGTACCTTGTTTCTTCTGGCAACTGCTGGGCGCTGTTGGAAACGCTGGGAACATCTGATAGTGGAGTGACAGTGGGTGGTGTGGATATTTGTTAGTGAGTGATTTGTGACCTTGTGAAAGATTGCATGTGTCACTGGGTGTAAAAATTCACAAAGTCGTCTGCGTCATGCATCTCGGCGTCCACACGAACCCCTGAATGGGCCAGCCCGGCGCACAACCGGCCCTTTTGGCCCACCGGCACTCGTTGCCCGGGTGCCCAGTAAGCCTACGGTACTAGGAGGGCAATTCAGGAGTGCTAAACATCGGCGGAACTCCCGACATGCAACTATCACCAGTGCCATCTCACTGCAAAAGTGCCCAAATCTGTGTGTCCGTTGGTTTGTCTCGACCATCATTTGTATTTCTCTCCTCCCAAGCAACCGAGTTAAGCGCGGTTACAGGAATCAAAGCAGCTCTACTAAGCACATTTCTTGATCAAGACAGCCCATTCCCTATTCACTCTTGTACTATCTTTGTCTTCCCTCCGTTCCAGGCGCACGGAGGTTTTCTCCAAGCAAGAGTGTATGCAAAAAAAAAAAAAAAAAAAAAACCGTATTTCGTCTTTGCGCGTCAGAACCTTCTCCGAGGTCGCGCAATAAAAAAACATGCTCGTGTTCCATCATTTATGTCGTTCATCCGTGTCTTTTCATCAACTCCATCATGACCCAGCAAAGAAAAAAGAAAAAAGAGAAGAAAGAACATGTGAGAAATCAGAAGCCCGCTTGCCAAACCGACTCTGTCGAGATTTTGAATAGATGAACAACGGGAAGTGGTATCATTCAGCAAAAAGAAGCGTATGTTGCAAGGAGCCTGCGCCTCAAACTCATAACAACGCTCGCTAAACACCACTCCGTTTCTTTCCCGAACTCCATTTCTCTATGTCGCGCCAGACGGAAAACAGACTTTCTGCCTGCCGAAAAAAAACCAAGAGTGGCCGACAACAGCGCTTATCGAAACATAAGCCGCTGACATGACAAATAAGGGAATGAAAAACACATGTCTTCTAGACCCCAAATAGAGCGTAACGTTGCGTCGTGAAACCTCCAGATCTTTACATTCCTCCCCCGGGTTTTGTTTTTGTTGCGCCGAAAACGTAAAATGACAAGTTTTCCACCCTAGAAGAAAAGAAAGAAAAAAACATGCAAATGATGATGGTCGACCAAAAAAATCGACCCAGTTTTCCTTCCCAACCTTTCCCCGCATGTGAAAAGTGCGGTTGACAAACCCCAAACTCCAAACAGTGTATCGAAAAGCACAGGAGCCATCCCACCCCATCTTCGTATGTGTACAACCACACAATCTCTTTCAATGAAAAACGTACAGCAAAAACGGAAATCATTCCCACTGGGAAAACTTGCCGCTTCTCTTTATCCCGGGCTCCTGGGTATCATAATCCGGACAAAGACCATCATCTATGTGGTGGGATATTAGTTTAATCGAGAAGGAAGAAGTAAAATGAAATATCTCCGGCGTCCGAGTTTGCCATCGGCTGTAGCATGGAGACATAAGAAGCTGAATGAGGTGTAGCCTTCTGGCTAACCCAGAAAACGTATTGCAGAATCTTGCGACCGACTAATAGCAGCCTTGGATATGCGCAAAGAAAGGTACCTGGTGGAAGGGAGCGTGGTGTGAATGCGTATAGTACTTGATGGTTTCCCAAAGGTTTCCAGACGGGTACTTGGATGGCGCATAGTTCGGCTGGACCGAAATGGGCATCATCGGCTGCTGGATAGGCTGTGGGACCGTTGTTGGGTAAGGCTGCTGGAAGTAGTCGTGTTTGTACTGCGTCAGTACGTTGGGATCCTCCAAAGGTTCAAAGATCACCGGCTCTCTTCCCTGCAATGGCTGCTGAGGCGGAGGTGTCTTGATCTCGGGAAGATCCGAGACCAAGTCACCATCATCGTCCTCTTCCAGGTCCTCAAGACTCGAGCAGGCCGAGGTAAGCGACCCATCATCCGAGGAGCAAGTAGAGCCCTCATCAGACATGGAGTCCGACGAAGAGGGTGACATGGGCGATGGGTATTCCTCGGCGTCCACATATGTAACTTGGTGCTCAAGTGATGCGGGCGACTGGGTGAACCTGGAGCAAGCAAGAATCCGGGTTCGCAGCTCGGGTAAGGTGATCCTATGGTCAGGATTGGGCGTAAAAATCCTTCCCAAGATGTCGTTCAGTTCGTCCGACACCGGGAGAATGGTCTTGAGGAAATCCTTGCTTTTAACGAAGGCCCGGTAGGTGGAGTCCTCAAAAGACGCTTGCTTCCATGGGTTACGTCCACAGGTGAGATTCACCAGGATGACTCCAAGGCTCCAAACGTCATTCGGAGCGCAATAATAGAAAGGCCTCCTTGCTGTTTGATCCAGGCACTCTAAATGAACAAGAAAAGGAACAAGTCAGTTCGTTGTCCAGGGGGGATCGGATGGAAGATGAGAAATGAGAACGAGAAATCGCATGGCCAAGATGGGCTAGGGGGAGATTGACATCAGAAAGTTCGCAAAAACATGAAAACCTACCTGGCGACATGTAAAATGTTGAGCCACACCCGTAGTCCATAGATGTTGCCTGTTGAATTGCGAGGCCGAAATCTGCCAACTTGACAGTTTCGCCGTTGTCAGAGACGAGGATGTTCTCTGGCTTCAAGTCCCGGTGGTAAATTCCACGGCTGTGGCAGTGTCCTACGGCATCCAGGATCTGGAGGAAGACACTCTTGGCGAGCTCATCCTTACCAACATATTGCCCACGTTCGGTGATGTTATAGAACAGATCACCCTCCGGGCAGTACTCCAAGACAACGTAGATGCAGTCATGTTGTTCGATGATCTTGACCATCGAGACTACATTGGGGTGTCCCGAGGCCTGGTGGTGCAAACGTATCTCCTGGCGTTGGAACGTAATCTGGCGAGCATCCAGCGGGGTCCCATTGGGGTTGAACTTGCTGAGGCACTTGACGGCATAGCGAACATTATCCTTCAAGTCGACGGCTGAATAAACCACACCATATGCACCAGACCCCAAGATCCCTGAGAGTTGGAGCGAGTTGGTGATAAACATGCCTAGTCGGTCTTCCGCTGGCATCGGGACATAGTGATGTTGCTGTAGCTGGTGAGGTGGGGGGAAAATATACTGCTGGTCGAATGGTGCTGGTGATGCCGGCGGAGTGAGATATCCAAGCTCTGACACATGATGCATGATCTGTCCTGGCTCCTTGACTCCTGATACTAACTCCTTTCGGGCCTGGTTTAGGCTAAGCCGACGGTGAATGGGCGCAAATTTAAGTCCGGGAAGGAGAAGAAATGATGGAAACAGCAGACAGGAAGAGAACAGAAAGACTGGATTAGATCCTGCTCCTGGTTGGGTATATCCTCAAGAAGACCAAAGAAAATGAAAGTCCGGGTCACGTCCTTTTGCTCCTCTGGAATGGATGGAATGGCACTGGCTCGAGTTTTGTCCTGAGTGGGTTGGCTGTAGATCCTGAACGTCCAGGCTCTGGGTCGCAAACAATCCAAATGTTGACTTCGAGTGAACGGGTCAACAAGTATTGGACGAAGGAGGTATGTGTATGTAAGTCGTTGGTTGAAGGTTGTTGAGTTAACAAGGGCGGGATATCATGGAGTCGTTGACGAAGTTGTTGTAGGAAAGGATAGTCTTCACGGACACTGGGCCTGGAAGAAGGACGGGGGAGTAGGAGGTGAAAAGACGATGCCAAGTGAAGTGAGTGTAGAGAAAGGTGACGATGGTGAAGGAAGCTAACAGCACGAGGCAAGAGCGTAGGTAACAAGATGCGGACCGGAGATCATAGATATTTGACGATACTCTCTTTCACTGGCTGGCGGGCGTGCTTACCCTGCCGCCCCGTTCTCTGTCAAAGGATGGCATGGTGCAATGCGACCCTCTTCGGCTTGCGTGTCTGGGTGGCTTGATTGGTCTCCAAGTGCCCCATGTCAGGCTGGCCATTCATCCACCCGAAGTCGTCCCCAAGACTGTGTGCAAGGGTGGGTGAGTACGAGGATACCGCGGTACATGCAGGGTGCGGTCGGTACGACGGTACGATGGAAGGTACTAAGGCACGGAGGGTGTGAGACTTGGGGGACTTGAGAAGCGCCGAATTACCCACACCCACTCACCTCCCTCTCTCCTCGCTGTCGGTACCCTCTTCTGCCTTTGCCTCTCTGTTGCCGGACGCTGTGGCCACCGGTCGGCTCAAACCAGCACATCCTTGCCGTCGAGTCTCATGGGACCACAATGCACCATCCTATTCTTAATCTTGGGTGGATGGCACTAGAGCGGAACGAGCATGGCGGCAGATGGTTTTCAAGAACAGTACATACACCGCTACTACTTTTTGGTGAGCCGGTGTGTAGTTCTTCTTTTTTTTTTTCTTACTTTTTGGCACCACCTGGGCGGGAATGAGGGTAGATGAGGTTGAGGGATTAGAGGCGTGTGGGGCGTCTTGGAAGGTCGCGAAGGTCCATGGAGCACCAAGGAATGGGCCTGCCTGCTTGGGGCGTCCGCTAATGCGCAGCAGAGTGAATTGTGACGACGAGCAATAATGAGGACAGGGGTTGTCTGACACAGATCATTCAAACGCCCTGTGTCACTGCCTCTCCATCTTGCCCATGCGGACTAACGTCCAATGCTTGATCATACACACACACCCCCTTTTATCCTTGCCATGCGCCCCTAGGCCGTTGATTGCTCATCAAAGAAGCGAATGGGATGTGCAGGATAATGGGATGCTGTCCCTGTCAAAAAAGGAGGGGGGTGAGCCGAGCTGCTAGTATGAAGACCAGCACTGAGTGCAAGACTGAAGGATCAGAGCGGCATCCACCGAACCGCATCGTTTCGTTCACAACAGGGAGAGGGCGAAAACTGAAAAGCAGAAGAGCCACAGCCAGCGCGCGTGACAGCGTGTGACGCACTCTGCGATGCCCATTCCCGCTGATGAATGAAGTGTCCTTGTTGCTGAGAGCAATGCTTGGTGGGCCCGTGGCTTTTGCCGATTTTCATGTTTTCACCGTTCAGGTGAGGAAAACGTGTTGTATGTCCGTTTACCGACAGGAGAGGTTCTTACAGCGAGAACACACGCACACAGCCATGAACGCAGACGCAGACACTTACAGACTGCACGTGAATCTCAGTCCCTGAACGAGACCGCCTGCTTGTTACCTGTCATCCAATGCCTTCCACCCGTAGCCGCGCTGATTCAGTACTCGCCAGCAAGGCATCGTCGTTCAAATAGACCGGAAAACGTGTCGGTATTCATTGTCAACGGGACTGGCGCTTTTTTTGGTCGTGTGAGGTTGATGAGGTACTGTTCAGCAGGCCAAAGCCTAGTTTGATCCGCCTGTCCGTGTTGTGAACACTTGTGTATTGACCTAGGATATGTTCCTTAACATAGCTGCAAGCTGGCGTTGGTGGTTCTGGCGGATAAGAAGGATTGAACGGTACTGTTACCGATACGTGTGGTGCTGATAGGAAGTGGCAAAAGTTGAACAACGGGAAGGAGGTTTGTGATTGGCATGCGGCATGTTTCTGACGGTTTCTGAAGCCGCAACACAATGCGGCCAAGCGGCTCCAGAATTCCGATGATGTCGGGGCTTGCGGGGGGGCTGGTGGAAAAGTGTATGCTGACGAATTCCTCGCCTTCCCATAAAGAAGCCGTACCGTATTGCGCGTCAACTCCTCTCGCTCACCGCAGTCACCTGGACGCCCCAACGCCCCTATGGCAGGCACCGTTAAAGCAAGATGGGCGGCCTTACGGCGGTCATCATCCATGCCGAGCCTGTTTTGCCCTGTTTGATTCGACCAAGACTTCTCGAGAAGGTTACGGATCCATGCCTGATTGGCCATGCAGCCTTCGCGGCCCTGATTCGAAACCTTGATCCATGGCCATTATGTATCTCGGCTGAAGTGCAAGTGCTGCATTGAGCAGATCGGCTGTGATAACGCCCGCTGAAAAACCAGCATTAATCACTGTTGGACTCGTTAGTGTGCATAACTACAACGTCAGGGCTCTTTGTAAGATTATGAAATATCAGCAAAGTGCATGTAGTGTATAGGCACTGAATGGTACTGGTACTGGCACATGCCGCTACAATGACCGTTTCAGGGGAGCTCAGGATAGTGGTGTTGTGCGTGCTTGACACATTGGATGAGCAGGCAGCTCAACTTGTTATATGCCTACGAGTATGGTGTATAGTCTCTTACAGGCATCCCGTCGAAGCAGGGCGAGAGCCAATTCCGATATTTTCACGCGGAGGCGCTCAAGTAGATACCTAGCTTGCCTAGATATCGGACGACTCAGTGGGCGAGGCGTGTGCGTCAAGAGCGCTGTGCTCATACGGAATTCAGGTAGTGAGGCTCGGGGCTTCCATATTGGGTATAAGTGGTAGGCCAGTCCTGATTTGATGGCTGGACTCGCTCTTGCCTGGTGCTTTGGGCACTATGTCTAGGTGTTGCTGTATCGAAACGTATGTGGGCCGTCATATGTTGCTAGCGCAGTCAGTTGCGGCTGGCTTCCAGAGTTTACGGAGAGGGGGTAAGATGGGGGAGGACATGGACCATGGGCTGGTTACAGAAGAGGAGGGTTGCAATTCCTCCATCCATCTATCGATTTGCGGACATTAGACGGCGGGCGGTGGATGGAGATGATCGATGGCCGGAAATGAAGGCAATCAAGTGGAAAATTATCGGTTGGCAGGCACATTGTGACGATTGCGGATTGGAACTTAAGTTGGGACAAGGAAACTAACTGGATTGGTCACGGGTGAAGAAGGCTGTGTTTCTCGTCGTCGTCTCAAGCCTTGTATTGTGAGTGACGTTAGTAGTGTAAGCGAGGTGCGGGTCAATAACAATTTCGCTATGGATTTGCGAAACGATCTGTTAGATGGCGGCAGAAGCTGCAGGCAGACCCGAGCTTCCACTTGTCAGACGCCCCAGTGCCCTCGCATTCGCTCCTGCCGCGCAACTGCAAACCTGAAGTGTCTGTTCAGTGGTAATGTTTGATTGGCCAGTCAGCCATACATACACACAGTACGCGGGCAGTACCTCTAGGCAGTCAGTTGTTCTTTTTCATCGCCCCGCTAGCAGGAGGTAACGTGGAAGTCCCATCTCGATTCTTCCTTCTTGAACCAAGCGATGGGATTATGCAATTACGCTCGCTCTTTCACTTGCAGCAAATGATGCGCGGCATCTTCCTGCATCCCTCACATATGACGGATCCTTCTCAACTCTCAACCATCCTCAAGCTTCAGTTTGACATTTGTTGGATGCTCTCCAGCTGGGCGGGCGTCTAGGCAATTTCACCAGACTCTCCCGTTTTGACATCGAACCGCTTGCAACATGGCCACCCAGTCCACCGAAGCTGTGACTTGCCGCGGCCGCATCCCAACAGGCCTGCTATGGTAGGCTTTAACCAGAAGAACAACGGCTCTGATGTCTGTAAGATCGTCGACAGGTGCTCATTTCAGGCCCCGCCTATTTCAGGACTGAAGGAAGCACTGGGGACGAGCACAAAGAAGCAGAATGCTCCCTGGTGCTCCACGTCTGCGGTATAGGGTTGCATTATTGGTCGCCTCCCTGCAATTCCTTCCATTCGAGTGCGATTCGGCTCCCACACCATGGGTATATACATACATGGCTTGGAGGAGTTGGCAGGATGCACTCATCACACTGACGGCACAACAAATGGTGGGCCAACATACCTTCTCGTCAGCTGAAAGTCATCCCCTCCTTTTTCTTCGACGGCCATAACCACGCCCACGCCCACGGTCCCACAGGTGACGGCGTTGTGACGGCGCTAACTACATAAGACGGTCCCAGAAGTTCAGAACCACTCCGGCGGCATGGTAACGGTACCTTGGCAGAGACTAGAAAACCTGATCATCTGGTTCCAGAAGGCCGGATCCCGTTTTGAATCCCGGGCCAAGACAGCCTAGTCTGAGCGGCTCATGAACGACGACGACGACGGGCACGGCGACAAGCATGGCCTTATGAAGATCTCCCCGCAAAGCACTCGTCAGTCACGGCTCACAACATCATGCTGGCGAGCCCATGGGCCGCTGGGTGAGACATCAGTCCCGCCTTGATATTACTCAAGTACACTACACTGCACTAGTGTAGTGTACGCTTGCTTCTAGAGCCCTGGCCGAAGGATCCGCAAACATCAACGGGTTTTCGCCAAGCACACGTTTACAACGTTTTGTTGACGCACCGCGGTCGGAGATCTCGATGGAAGCTCGTCACTGTTGTCAGGAACGGACAAGGCGGGGCAAATTGCCATCCTGGACATTTACATCATTTGCAACCACACAAGTTGCTCCCTCGGAGGGGAACTACAGCCGCACGTCATCGGCAACGGCCGATCTGTGACCATTCACTGACACTGCATGGCAGCGATCCTATAATAATGATAAAAAAAAAAAAAAAAATTGGAAAACAACAACTAATCGTGCCACCTTCCAGCCAAAGTGTTGGTACAACTCCATATATACTCGCGATTAAGCCAGCCATGACCGACTTTCAGCTACGCCAACCGGCGTCACCGTGACTGTTATCTTAGGCTCTTCTCGCTTCCATGTAGGACCTCCCCGCATCACAGCAACGCTCTATCAGCTATGGTCCATGAATAGCCATGTTGCCTCCTAAGCCTCCAAAGAAACGAAATAAACCCTATCAGCCTCCAACTTTACACGGTCAGGCATTATGTCAGGCATGAATGGATGAGGATCCATGAGGA